GTACCTGGGATCAAACCCAGGTCCTTGTGCTTGCCAGGCAGGTACTTCGACTGCCAAGCTCTCTCCCCAACCCTTTTTTTTTTTCTTTAAATATTTTACCATTTACATTTGAGAACTTAGGTCATGTGGAATTAATTTTTGTGTATGTGAATAGTAGAATTCTAATTTTTCTCTTTTTAATATGGATAATTGTTCGTTGTAAATTTTATTTGTGGTACTGAGGCAAGAGGTAGCTAAGGAAAGGACTAGACAGAAAAGAAGGCCAACCTGCCATGGAGCCCACTTTCCAGACTAGATCTGCCTTTTAAGAGTTGAACATGAGAAGAGGACCAGGATGTCCAGATCTAAATACAATGGGGAAAGGCAACCAGGAAACTTAACTTATGTATAGTAAGTGCTCCACCCAGTGGTCTTTGCAATCCTTGGCTTACCTAGCTCTAATTATGGTATCATTGACTATGCAGATTTGACCTGAGTGGTCTCTGGACACCAGGAAAATTCCTGTGAGGGCCACAAAAGGCCAAAAACTGCCTCTCACTGGAGAGGCTGAGTCAGGCAGCATCATGCTTCAGACCAAACCCTCAATTCTACCCTAAACCCTAAGGCTTAAAATTTGACACTCTGAAGTATTTCTTGTCTTTTTTCCTTCATATAAATCACTGATCCTAATTTTTTTTTGGGGGGGGGGGCGTGTGTGGAACCGGGGATTGAACTCAGGACCTTGAGCTTGCCAGGCAAGCGCTTATCCTATTGAGCTATCTCCCAGCTGAATCCTGCTAAATCACTGATCCTGCTGCAGCTCTTGGGTATCTTCAGTTCTTGGCTTAGGACATCAAGAACTTGGTTAATAACCCCATACTAATACTAGGGATTAAGTCAAGGGCCTCACACATGTTAGACAAATGGTGTACCACTGAGCTCTGAGCTACATTCCCAGCCTTTTTCATTTTTTGAGATAATATCTTAATAAGTTGTGCCCCTGCTAGTCTTGATCATGTGGTCCTCCTGCCTAAGCTTCCTGAGTAGCTTAGGTTACAGATGTGTGCCACCTCTTCTAATATTTTTTAAATTTCCCATATATAAGGAACCTTTCTAGATTCTGTTGTGTTCCACACTTTGTTTTGTTTGCTTTTTTGGTGCAAAGGGTCAAAGCCAGGGCCATTGGCATGGTAGTCAAGCATTCTACCATTGAGCCGCATCTTCTCACTCTCTAGTCCGTGTTTTTTTTTGTTTTTTGTTGTTTTTTTTTGTTTTTTGTTTTTTCATTTTTTTTTTGGCAGAACCAGGGATTGAACTCAGGCCCTTGTACTTGCCAGGCAAGTGCTTATTCTACTGAGCTATCTCCCCGTCCCTTGATTATATATTTGAAACTACTATTTTGCTTAATCTTGTTTTTTATTTTAATCTTTTTTTTTAATTTGGTACAGAGTCTCACTACACAGCTCAGATTCATAGTGATCCTCCTGTCTCAGCCTCCCCAGCCCAGGATTACAAGCATGTGCCACTACACCCGCTTTCGGTGGCGCACTCTTGTGCCATCAGCATGGCATGTGGTACCCAGTCCTTGTGCTTGTCAGGCAGGCAATTAGACTGCCAAGCTATCTCTCCAGCCCCTTGCTCAACCTTTATTCTAAAAACTTTGTGGATTCTTTTGCCTTTTCTATTTGAATTTTTTGAATGATTGATTGATTGGTGTTTTGAAACATGGTCTCACTATGTAGTTTTTCCTGGTCTTGAACTCATGGCAGCCCTCCTACCTCAGCCTCAGGAGTTCTGTGATTATAGGCATATGCTACCATGCTTGCAATTCTTTTATTTGTTTTGTTTTGTGTTTTGTCTTGTCCTCCTCTTCAAATCCACCTTTTCCTCCTTTTATAAAAACTGTACTTTCATTTTTATCCTTTAGGGTTTTTTCCTTTAAATCTCTTTTCCCTCCCTCCATCTCTTGTTCCCCTTCCCATTTGAACAACTACTCTCATTCAATTTTTTAACATTTTATTTTTATATAAATTTACTTAGAGGGGCCGGGGAAGTGGCTAAGTGGAATAAGTGCTTCCCTGGCAAGCGCAAGGGCCTGAGTTCAATCCCTGGTTCTGCAAAATAAATAAATAGATAAATAAATAAATTTACTTAGAAAAGTTCAATTTTCAGGAAAAAAGACCTTCAACCTAGATGTTAATGTTTTGCTGTTTTAAACACTTTTTTTTTTTTTTTACAAGTTTATATAACTTTCTCCTGTATCATTTTAGTATGTACACACTCTGGTTGGTTGGTTGGTTGGTTGGTTTTGAGATAAGGTCCTGCCATTGCCCAGGCTGCCTGGTACTCCTGGGTTCAAGTGATCCTCCTGTCTCGGCCTCCCGAGTACCTGAGACTTCAGACATGTTCTGTCACACCCAGCTAGACATACATTTATTCTCAAGTGTTTCACTGAATATTTCCTAAAAAAAGGAATATAATCTCTGCACAATTATCAAAATCAGGAAATTAGTACTGACTCAGTACTGTTATCCAATTTACAGACTTACTTTCCAGTTTCACCAAATGACTTTATTAGGAAAGGAGGGCCGGCCTGATAGCTCAGTGGACTAAAGTGCCTGCTTAGAGTGCAGTGGCTGGGGTTCAATCCCCAGTGTGCCGTGCTGGCCCCGCCCCCAGGACATGCCTATAATCCCAGCGCTTGGGAGGCTGAAAACAGAAGCATCACTATAAATCCAATCTATGTAGTGAAACCCTGTAGACCTTATATCCCCTATACTAAATGCATACTAATAAAAAAATGAAAATAGAAAAGGAGAAAAAACATATTTTGTTGCCATTTGTCTTTTCTTTGGGGGTGATTCTGTATTGAGGATCTAACTCTGGACTTTGTGCTTGCCAGGCAGGTGCTTATGCTGCTGAGCTATCTCCCCAGCCCTGATTCTTCAGTTTTTATCTATAATGACTTTTCTTCTCTTTTTTTTGAGACAGTATCTCACTATGTAATGCAGACTGGCCTTGGACTCACTATGTAGCCCAGGCTGGCCTTGGATTTGTGGCAGTCCTCCTACCTCAGCCTCCAAGTGCTGAGATTACAGGCATGCACCTCCACACCTGGCTTTAGCCTTGCCATTTTCTTAAGAGTGGTGGCACATGCCTGTAATCCCAGCACTGAGGAGGTTGGAGCAGGAGGATCATTGCAAGTTTGAGACTAGCCAGGGCTACAAAGTGAGCTGAAGGCCAGTTTGAACTGCATAGTGAGACACTGTCTCAAAAAGACAAAAAAAAAAAAAAAAAAAGTTAGTGGGCTATTTTGTAGAATGTCCCTCACATACAGAGGTAAAATCTATGAGCCATTTATTAAATAAATTATTTATGAAAATAAATTTGATCACTTGTTTAGGGAATGTGTGCCAAAATTTCTGTAATGTATTTGCCATTTAATTCTTTGTAAGTAGATTAATATATATCTTGACTTGATTTTTTAAAAGATAGTTATAGGGCCGGGGAGATAGCTCAGTAGAATAAGTGGCTGGCAAGCACAGGGTCCTGAGTTCAATCCCCGGTACCACAAAAAAAAAAAGATATAGAACTTCAGATTTTGCTTTTCATCTTGAAATAGTTTGGTGAGACCTAAAATAAAACCATTGTCTCGGGGCTGGCGAGATGGCTCAGTGGTCTAAAGCACCTACTTGGAACAAGCTTGGCAAAGCACAGGGACCGCGGTTCGATCCCCCAGCACCACGTGCCGGGGCGCCCCAGACACACACACACACACACACACACACACACACACACACACACACAATAAAAAAAAATAAACATAGATGCACATGTATCTTCTGGAAAAATACCTAGGAGGGGAATAGCTGGGTTCAATGAGATCTCTAATCCTAGTTTTTTTGAGGGATCTCCACACTGATTTCCACTGTGGCTCTACCAGTCTACATTCCCACCAACAGTGGAGAGGGGTTCCTTTTTCCCCACAACCCCTCCAGAATTTGTTCTTGGTTGACTTCTTGATGATAGCCATTCTTTCTGGGGTGAGATGAAATCTCA